TCTATTATTAACAATATTAGAATTGAATGTGTTAATAGCTCTAGCCTGTCCACACGCTGGCACAAGTCTTAATTATTTTGCCGGTCTTGCCTGGGAGGAAAATAAATAAAGAAAAACAGACAGGATTGTTTTGATGGCATCAGATGAATAGTCTATTCAGATTGGGACATTCTTCTGGAGCCAAAAAAAAAAAAAAATCAACATAATTGCATTTGTATATTTCTTTTGATATTTTTAATCCTTCTGTCAGAATGGTCTAATTTATATTTCATTTTCTTGATGTGTTTACTAACCTCTGGATTATTGTAATGATAATAAAAAGTGACAACCCATAACAAAAGTATTTGATAAAGCAATAATTAAAAAAATATTATTTTGTAGTTCCTCACATGCTCCAGATTCATATTCAAGACTAGGTGATTTTTTTCACACCTGAGATTGAATATGAATGTACTTCTTAATTTCTATGCACTATTGGTAATTCCCCCCCCCCCGCCCCATTTATTTATTTAGTCAGTCTCAAGTATGCAGCATTATATAGTGTGGAAAACGTCTGCTTGGGCTATTAAAATACTATATCCTTTACAAGGAAGCCTTGTCTTTTGGGATTCATTCTCTACATAGCTGATATTATCTGGCTCACAAACAGGCCATTTTTCATTATTGCTTGCCAATCAGTTCTTTGATGTCTGAAAAACCATAATTTTTAGTTCAAAGGACCTCTGTATAACATAATACATCTCTGTCTTGATATCTGAAAATAGTTCATTTCAATACTTTATCTTTCTAAAAGCGGAATGGCTCTGCCATGTCTTATAGCAGATTTAAATCTTGTCTGCACATGCAGAAGGTACAAGGATATGAAAAGAGTCTAGAAATTAGTCCATAATGAAGTGACACTTTTCCTCTCTAATTTTTTTAAAAAACCTGTAGAGTTTTTTTACAAGAGTCAGCAACCTGTAATACCCCAGATATACTGGTTACCCAATTCTGTTACTGACATGGAAAATATTGCCCTGACACTATTGCTATTGTTACTGAAGGCCTTGGAATACGCAGTAGGGTTGGATTTTATCAATTATTTTAATTTAATTAATGATTGGATTATTAAGTGTATAGCAGTCCAGTCTGTAATTTTTTAATAACTATCATAAATACCAGTTCCACCTAGATATTATTTAGATTTTGTTTGTTTGTTTTATTTATCGTTATTCTCTTCATTTTGAAGCTAGGCCAGTTTAAGTGGCTATGAAAGAGTCTATTCTAAATAACAGTAACTCTATTAAAAGCAACAACAACAATAAGCTTTTTAATGAATCCTGAGGCGCTTTACACTGAGGAGTGGTAGATATATGCTCTCCTTATAGTCTCTTAAGAATAAAAGACCATGACTAATGCTTGCAGAGCTATTTCCATGATCTCAAAATTAGATTAGGCACAAAGTACTCATGTAAAACACCACTACAATCTGGAAATGGTTTTGGAGAATAGAGTAAAAAATCCAATTTACTTTTCACTGATGGGAAAACCATATTTCCTAGAGGGAAATGATAATCTAACCTGAACACAGTTTTGCAGTTGGTTGAAAAAATCTTAAGTGAAGCATTGTAAAATTCTTTTTGCTAAAATCCAGACAGAACCACAAAAAGCTGTCTCTGTTAAATCTGGCTCCTTGCCCAATGAAAGCAAGACATCTTTCATTCGGTGTCAATACATTTGATTTCTATGTCCTAAAACAACACCTTTGCATCTGTCTCTATTAAAATTCATTGTGTTATTTACAGCCCATTTATTTAACCTGTCAAATTCAATTTGGATTCTACTTAATAATAAATCCTTGAGGAACCATTGTTAAAATGCTGTTTAAGAAGTATTTGTTGAGGGTCTTAATTGTTGTGACACCCATGGTATAACTTCCTTGTTATGCCATGTATCATAAGTTACTTCAACATATGCTTTACTATAAATCACTCTGAGGTACTTGCATTGCCTGCCTTAGGAGGCAGAGATAACAATGATTGCAAAGCTTTCTAGTCCTGAAGCACTTCAAAGTCTATGAAGACTTTGAACTCTCGCAATTCAATCTGCTAGTTAGAAGCAGAATCCATGTCCCTTCATTGAATCTGTCTCAATGCCTGATTTAATCAAAATGTCATCAGTTTGAAAAATAACTTAGGGATAATTTATCATTCGCCATCAGTTTATATGAAAGTACTGAATTATATTAGCAGAGGATTTGTAAATGGCATAGAAACAACATTGTCTTTCTAACCCAAATAAAGGGGGTATAAGTGGATTGGTTGGCATCAATTCCTGGCAGTTTATTTTAATCCTGTGATACAGACTATCCTGACTCAACCAATTATCTCACTGAAATCACTGGCAGTTTTGCCTTTGGCAGGGAATTTATATCCTGCATGGATGAAAGTATAAAAAGTAGCTAAGGGACAAGACAATACAATAATAAACAACATGGAACTGTCTCCCAGAAGCTCTTCTTTCAGTACAAAAAGTGTGCTTTTTATTAAAGGGGATAAATGCCACAGAAATTATATGAAATAGCATAACATTTTTGTCTGTAACAGATTCCCACTACCAGAACTGGAGTCATGAAAAATTAACTGTTTTTAGATGATCAGTAAAAATCCTTTAAAAAATATCTTTCAACAAAGCTGGACTTTAGATAATCAGATTTGTAATCCTCCCTAAAAACCACCTCCAGATTTGTGGCATACTGAGAGTCTAAAAATCATAGACTAAGACTGTGCACAGTTTAAAAATACAGAAAGTACAGAAGTGTTTTAAGGCTGAAGCAGCTCTGCTTTTATTATGAAACAGGGATTTTGAGCTGAAGATGTGGCTCTTTCAAGTTTGAAATGTTCTCAGTGTGATAAAGCCTGATATAAGTGCAAAGTAATATTTCAAACAAAATAAAGTTTTTTTTTTTAAAAAAAATTTTTTTTGTTTGGGCAAAATTCATTGACTTCAGTTAGCATTACACAATTTTTCTTTCCTCATACCTTACAAATTAAATTGTAACTGTAATTAAAGTAAAATTAACAAAAAGGGGAAAAGAAAACCATAGACTTTCATAGAGTTATAAAACAATTAGCTGAAAATATGAATGGAAATAATTAGTATTTTTATTTAAAAATAATAATTTAGACTGACTGAAATACAGCAGTTCAGTATGGCTTTTCCCATTTGCTTAGCTACGGTATTATTGAAGTGAAATGTATTATTTCAGCTCTGCTCATCATTAGCCCTTGGAATGTCATATAACTTACAATAGCACTGGAAATCACAGAAATTATACAATGACAACTGTAAATAAAATAACCTATTATTAATGAGCAGGATAGAAAACAAAATATTGATAAAAGGGTGCATTTTTGTGTACTGATATTAGCATATTGAAGTTTTAATTTTGAAAGGTATTCTTTGTGAAGTACCATGCTCTTTTGCTTCTAAACAATAAACTGGCACGTTATTTCTCTTCAGGTTGCTCCAATGGCTTCTTTCAGTGCTTTCTATAGGGTATTTGAAAATGCTGCCAGAGACTTCTACTCATGTGCACTGCAGGTCTAGAAACCAGAATGGTGTTGCAATGACATAAAACACCCCAGTGGGATGAGTTCTTTCACTTTCGTGTTTTGACAAGTGAAGAGCATTGCTTCACATCATTGTATCACTATTGTCATGTTGCCTAGATCTAGCAGCATTGGGCCACTAAACTACAAGTCCGGCTCAAATTATGCCTTGGTTATACACTGAGGCAAGTCATTTTGTGGGTTGTTTACTTTTGGCTTATCATGACAAGAAAGAACTGCAGTCCTTTGCACGTGACTGTGGAATAATGAGATGTTTGTAACTTAAATTATATAGATTATTTTACAATACTGTAGATTTGTCACTGAGACTAAGTTCTTTCTATTAATAAACTACTTATACATTTTTCAAGTTCTAAATGTTATGAACATGGTCTGCATTTTGAAAGAGTAATACTTAGACCTGAAAGATGGTACTTATAGATACAGCTAAAATTTTTCACTTTTCCCTTTCATTTTTCCCTCTTATTATATGGCGTACATGGCATATTCTATCCAACTATCCAGGTTTGTTACCTGAGCTGGAGGAGGCAATCACACAGATTTAATAGAAGTAAATCAGNTTCGCTCACGCATGCGCACAAAATTGCATGCGCACTGAGCAACCCAGCTCTGCCCCACTGGCTGTATTTCTGTATGTCACATAAAAAAGGAAGATGAAAGGATTCTGAAACTAAGCTAAACGAAAGATTGGAAATAAATTTGAATCGAGGAAAGTGGTCCAAATAGGAGGGGGATCTAAGACAACTCAGCACAGCCAGCTGGGGACAGCCCGCTCGCCATGGCCAAGTCCCATCTGCCAACTCACCACCACGAGGTCATTGCAGGATTCAACATGGGCAATTCGCTGTGGAGACAACTTGCTGCTGGTGCTCAGATGGAGAGCCGGAGGAGTGGCCAGGCTGGAAAGTGAGTGAGCAGGTGGACGGAATGAACAGTTGTGGCAGCAATGAGGGAGGGTGGGAACCTTCACATCCAAAGAATTGTCCCCCCAGCGATTTGCCCATGTCGAGTTGTCTTGCAATGAACTGGTGGCAGAGAGTTTGTAGAGGGGACTTGGCAGTGGTGAGGAGACTGTCCCCAGCTGACCGAACTGAGTTGTCCCATTTTGCCTCGGAGGACCATAGTAAGTTTACTTTTTGCTTGCATGTGGGATTTTGAATAATCCTTTCATGTTTGCAGCTGTAGGAAAAATCAAGAGACCTAATCAAGAAAATTTCAGGATTTGTACTACAGTTATTATATTAGAGTGTTATTGCAATCTCTTATACTGAAGCAAGGACATAACAACACAATAAATTATAATAAATGCAAGGGAGAATTGGTTTATATAAGGTTTATATCATTCATAGGGACATTCTTTGAAATGCAACAGCTTTACATACAAGATGTCCAAGACTCTGCTATATATGTACAACCTTTAATTGGGGATCTCAATAGATGTGCATCTCAATAGATGCTTGAACTATCTTTGACCAACAGTGTGCTAAAACCATATATAAACAGCACAGCACAGATTCACTGTGAACAGTTTGAGCATTCCTGAATAAGCTAAAAAGTCCCCTGTCCCCCGAAGCATTATCACTCTACTCACATAATGTGATGGCATATAAAATAAATTATCCACTTCGTGAGAATTTCAATTGTAATTTGATGGCACAAAAAGGCAGTAATATTATTACTGAAGTTAATACTAAAGTAAATTGCTGGTTGAAAGGTAGTTGCAAATACAATTTGGCTTACACTAGGTGCCTACAGATGTCTAATTCTTTTTTGAAAAGTATCAAATTAAAATAATTCAATTTGTAATGCTTGCTTCCAGTCTTTAACACAATTAGTGCCACTGAAAGAAAAGAACAACTATTTAACAGTTTATTTTCTCTTTCTGTGGATGCACAATTTAGAATTTCTGAAAACTAACATTTATCCTAAATTCACAAACGTTTAGCTTACTGATCCAAGCACTATCAGTTTCATCTATGATGGATGGAAGTATCTTCTGTCAATCAGCACAGATTTATAGCCTTGCTGCAAATTTGGTCGTAAATTCTAGATTTATCATTTATGAAATGTTCATTCATAAACAGGAAAAATCCATCCACTGGAGCTGTCTAAATAGTGCATGGCAAATAGCTATTTCACTTACAGCAGAATATCATACCTGCCTCTGAAAAATGAACTCCAATAACAAATGAAATTCTAAAATACAGAGGCTTAAAAAAAGGAAAAGGCAAACTTCTAAAAAGGTAACCATTGGACTAACTGCTCTTCATGGAGCTGTCTTTAGTTCAGTTTTATTCTTTAAGTAAAACTAATGTAGATAGTATTAGCACTTCTAAATAAATAACTATGTGCAAATATAAAACTTTGGCACCTAGGCAATTGTAATCCATAGCACTTAGATTCATTCTATAATGACTAGTTAATCTCCTCTGGATCCCATTATATTATTTCATTTATTTTATTGCAAATTATTTGTAAACTACGCTGGTTTGTTTAAGAAAAAAATATCTTCTTAATAAAATGACAACCTCTGTTCTTTCTGGCCTCTCCCGGTCCATAGTTTTCCTTCTCAATAGTTTTCTTACACCCTTGTCAAACATGAGCTGCTTTTTCATATTGTTCATTGCAGCTTCATTCATCTTTCGCACTTGAGTAATCAGAAATGTTGGGACCTACATAAAAAATAAAATAAAAAGGAAGATAAGTTTACATGACAAATAGTTTTCTGAGTGTCATCAGAATAATAAAGGCAAAGAGTTACCCTGAGGTAAGATGTACAGCCAATGAATGAATGAATGAATGAATGAATGAATGAATGAATGAATGAATGAATGAATGAATGAATG